AAAAAAAAAAAAAAGGAGCAGTGGGAAGCTCTCAGAAATGCGGGCAGAGTCACTGCCGGCTTTCCAGCCCTTGCCAGCACATGGAGCTGCCTGTCGTCATCTGGGTACACAGAATCCATCTACCAGAATAGCCCGGCTCCTGGCGCGCAGGCTGAGCAGGAAGGAGCCCGGCACCTTTCCTGTCCACACCACCCTGTTCGCGCTGCTAGCTCTGCATCCTTATCTCAGATGGCTCATGCACAGCTGCTGCCTGAAACTGGCTGGTTTTAACACGAGCAAGTAGTTTTAAACTAGGCGTGTTTTAAGCTGTGCTGTGATCGCACGCTGGTGCATCTTCAGGCCAGAAGTGCCGAAGCCTGTAATCAGCCCTCCTGCAGGATAGCACTTAGGCACACAAGTGGTCCCGTTGGTTTTAATTGAGCTGTTTGGGTAAGAGCTAGTCAGCATAGAGGAGGGATGCGGAGTATTGTCCTGTGTGTTTATTCCTTGGCAAAAGATGTCGGCCAGTTTCCTTTTAAGAGGATAACAGCGATTCAGATTAAAACAAGGATTATGCTTTACTGTTTTTGCAGCACTGAGGTAAAGCCACATATACATTACACCTGATTTTGTATTAAATCTGTATCTTGTTGCCTCGGATGCACAACTGTAATGCGGCTCTTGAACATTACTGAAACGCAGATCACATTTTACTGCCGTTTAGTCCAGGCAAGAGGGATAAGAGAAAATACAAGGCAATGAAGAAAGCAGCATTGTGACTGTAATTTAAGAGAATTTTATATCTGTTTGGAAAAAGTCTGACCCTGTGAATTACAAGGTGGAAGGGAATTTGGTGTGTAGATTGCAAAGGTAAAAAAGAAATTGCTGCAACATTTTGCACGTGCTGCTTGAACTGTTGAAATTCTGCTGCATATGGGTGAGACAGTGCAGTTTTTACTGCAAACCCATTGAAACCTATGGCAGTTTCACTGTTAACTGGAAGTAGGTTTAGACACTATTTGACATTGCCTTCTGTTGCAAAACAGCATGAAACCATATATGCATAGGTCTGTGTTGTCCACACAGGAAAGAAAGTTCCCTTTGCCTAACCACATGCATAGGGCACTTAGTGAAAAAGATGCAAAGAGGTATAGATAAGGCACCGTTGTTCTCTTCCACAGCCACAGCAATCCAGCAGGACCTCAGATCTTCAGGACACCTATATTTCTTTGTATACTTGTCTATCTTAAACCGTTTTGTACGTGAGCTGTGGAATCAGTCACATGTCCATAACAGAAGATGAATGTGCTGGGTATATAAATGCACCTCAGCAAAAGTGGTACATGTATGTATGAAAGCCCAAGATCCAGGTGTGGATTTACTGAGGCTCTGAAGGCCTGAAGCTTCTCCTGCTCTTCCCCACCACATTGTGAGCACACACCACTTGGCTCTGGAAACACACAGGAGTCCAAAGAAGCACAGCACTGCACAGGGCAGTGCTTCGGGAGGGTGCACGGCCCGTGCTGAGCACCCTACTGGCCATTGGTGACAATGAGCAATCACCAAACACTCCTCAGAGCTCTTGACTGCTGAACTGAAGCTGCCTCAGCCTCCCCTGCACTACCTGGGACCCAAACCCAGCACCTCTAACCACTCCCAGGGTCAAAACCATCAGACTCAATGTGATTGCTCTCTCTGCTGTTCAATGTGGGCAGAAGTATTTTGAAGGCAGTTGTTTTAGGATCACTGAGCACAATTTCACATTGATATTGTTACTTTCCAGGGCCCTGTCCTTGTACCCTTCCCTGCATAGAAAGACTGCTTTGGGAATAGAGGGGCCAGCTGGACTACACGAGTAAGTGTCATGCAGTGGTGCTGAGCACTGCAAAATGGGGGCCAGTGCAATCACGGAGTCCAGCTGATCTCTGTTCATGGTGGCTCTTGGCCCCAGGAGTCATAAACTGTTTTACTCTGCTTGAACTGTAAGAATCCGTGTAAACACACACATCCCCCCCACCCCCAAACCCACAGAGCCCCTGCTGATGAAATCCAGAGTAAACCCACATGCATTTGGGAAGGGCAGTGTACGGGCTGGCTCATTCCAAACAAGCAGTGACACACATTGACCTGTAGGTGCATCTCCCAGGCAGTGAACTCAACTGAGTCCATCTCAGGAGACACTATTAAAAACTTTAAAAAAACCTAGAAGGAATCGTTCTGGATGTGGTTTTATTTGTGCCAGGGAACCAGGACTAGCTTTGGTGGTGTCAGCGTGGGTGCAGAGGTGTAAAATGTGTGTGAAAGAAGATCAACCGAATTACTTTAAGATCTGAAGGACGGGCTCTAAGATACATGTGCTCGAAGGCTTTGCAGATTTGCGTCTCTAAATAGCTTTTTTCCATTTCTATGAGCAAGCAGCAGGAACAGCTGAGTGCTAAAGAAACAGCTGGCCTTCAGTGATAAGGGGTAGCTGTCACTTCATGGTGAAGTTTGAAAAACTTTATATTTAGAAGCAGAAGGGACAGCCATCAGCAGCCACACCCCAAAACCTGAACTGTTTGCGGTTTCTTTGCCGCCTGCACTTGGTGATTGGAGTGGTAATATTTACAATTTTAAATGTTATAGTGCCTTTCTTTTCCAAAATCCGCCCCATATGATTTGGCATGTTAGATCAGTGACATCAGAACCGCTCACTGCCCTGAGCTGTGCTGAGGGCAGAGGTCT